CGCACACACTTACAATCGTACTTTATAAATGTATTTGACTATTTAAATATGTATTTTTTATATATACAGGTGCATCAATAAATTAGAATGTCATGGAAAAGTTCATTTATTTCAGTAATTCAACTCAAATTGTGAAACTTGTATGTTAAATAAATTCAATGCACACAGACTGAAGTAGTTTAAGTCTTTGGTTCTTTTAATTGTGATGAATATGCACAAATTCAGTACAACAGATACTACCATTATTACACTTACAATCGTACTTTATAAATGTATTTGACTATTTAAATATGTATTTTTTATATATACAGGTGCATCAATAAATTAGAATGTCATGGAAAATATGTATATTTTAGTACATTTAAAAGTTAGTGGAGACTATTTGACTAGTTGGATTTGATTACGTGATCGTCTCTCTGTAGGAGTACATCAGGCATGTTGATCCGGTCAGTCATCTGGGTCTGGGTTCAGACACTGTGGAGGGTTATCGTATTGGAGACGTGATCCGGTCCAGCGGAGCACACACACCTGAACTCCTGCCTTGTGGATACCTCGTGGGAGAGAATGACACAATCAACATCTCGCTGAAAGGTTCACACAATCAACAAAAGTTTCACTTGTTATCATTATTTGTCCTAATTGCTCCATGTTTCTGTAGTTGTTAACATTGTGTATGTTTCTCTCATTTCAGGTGTGAACTCTCAGTCCGAGGATTCTCTGGTCTTCGAGACATTGATTCCCAAACCCATGCTCCAGCGTTACGTGTCTTTGCTCCAGGAACATCGCAGGATCATCCTTTCAGGCCCTAGCGGTACTGGAAAATCCTACCTGGCCCACAGACTGGCAGAGCATGTGGCGCTGCGAGAGGGAAAACTGCCCGGTGAGAGCAACATCGTCACCTTCAATGTCGACCATAAATCCAGCAAGGTGAGAATTGATCTCTTTTCCTTAGTTTGTGAGCCAAGTTGTTTGTATCAGCTCTACATCTTTTAAACTCTATTTTGTGTAACATTTATGTCAAAAGAGCAAGGAAAATCTATTTTTTCCCTTTAGAAACGAAGCTTTTTATCTCCAAAATGATAAAAGATATGAGCCAAAGTCTAGAAATCCTTGTACATTAGAAAGTAAAGATGTATACATTTATTTTATAGGAGTTGCGTCAGTACTTATCAAATATAGTGGAGCAGTGCAGCACTGATGGGCAGGAGACTGAAGCCCCTCTTGTGCTCATTCTGGACAACCTTCATCACGTCAGCTCACTGGGAGAGATCTTCAACGGCCTGCTTAACTGCAAATACCAGCGCTGGTGAGTCTGCCTTTCATATTTTTTTTCATAAATACATAACTGTTCAAATGTTTGTGGTTTGTAAAAAAAATGTTATATACTTGTATTAAGTAGGAACACATTAAAGTGATCAAAAGTGAAAGTAATGAAAATGTATAATGTTACAAAAGATTCTATTCATCAAAGAAACCTGAAAAAAAATGCATCACAATTTCCACCAAAATATTAAGCAGCACAAATGTTTTCAACATTGGTAATAATAAGAAATGCTTCTTGAGAAGCAAATCAGCATATTAGAATGATTTCTGAAGGATCATGTGACACTGAAGACTGGAGTAATGATGCTGAAAATTCAACTTTGCATCACAGGAATAAATAAAATTTTAAAATATATTGAAATATGTAAAATATCAAATGTATTAAATTGTAATATTTCACAACATTATGGTTTTTACTGTATTTTTTATCAAATAAATGCAGTCTTGGTGAGCATAAGAGACTTTCAAAAGCATTAAAAGATTTTACCAACCCCAAAATGTTGAACAATTGCGTATATTTATATAATTTCTTTTAATAACAAAAATGTGTTTATGTACACACTACAGTCAGTGTAACATGCACAAGCACACAGCAATGAGTGTACAATTAATGCTTTGATTTTGTCTCTCTGTATTTGCAGCCCATATATAATCGGCACGATGAGTCAGGCGACATCTTCTGCTCCAAACCTGCAGCTTCATCATAACTTCAGGTAATATATTGAAATATGTAAAATATCAAATGTATTAAATTGTAATATTTCACAACATTACGGTTTTTACTGTATTTTTTATCAAATAAATGCAGTCTTGGTGAGCATAAGAGACTTTCAAAAGCATTAAAAGATTTTACCAACCCCAAAATGTTGAACAATTGCGTATATTTATATAATTTCTTTTAATAACAAAAATGTGTTTATGTACACACTACAGTCAGTGTAACATGCACAAGCACACAGCAATGAGTGTACAATTAATGCTTTGATTTTGTCTCTCTGTATTTGCAGCCCATATATAATCGGCACGATGAGTCAGGCGACATCTTCTGCTCCAAACCTGCAGCTTCATCATAACTTCAGGTACAAAACTCTTCTTTTTTGTTCTTGAGTTAACTAAAATGATACCTTAACAGGGAAACTGCTACAGAGTGACCTCAAAGTGGTTCCATTGCGCTGTTGTTGGCAGCAATGATGATTTTTTTTTATTTATGTTCCTTTCTTTCTTTCTTTTTTTTATATTTATAATTTATTTTATTTTATTTGTTTTGAGTTGGCAGGGGTGGAGTTGAATATGTATGTGTGTATATACACTACCGGTCAAAAGTTTGGGATCAGAACAATTTTTTATGTTTTTTAAAGGAGTTTCTTATGCTCATCAAGGCTGCATTTTATTTGATCAAAAATACAGAAAAAAATGTAATATTGTGAAATATTATTATGATGTAAAATAAAAAATTTCTGTTTTAATATACATTAAAATATAATTTATTCCTGTGATGCAAAGCTGAATTTTCAGCATCATTACTGCAGTCTTCAGTGTCACATGATCCTTCAGAAATCATTCTAATATGCTGATTTATTAATATTTTTTTGGAACCTGTGATATTTTTTTTCAGGATTCTTTGATGAATACAAAGTTAAAAAGAAGAGCATTTATTTAAAATAGAAATGTTTTCTAACAATATACACTACCGTTCAAAAGTTTGGGGTCAGTACATTTTTATTCTTTCTTTTTTTTAAAGAAATTAAAACTTTTATTCAACAAGGATGTGTTAAATTGTTAAGAAGTGATAGCAAAGATTTATATTGTTAGAAAAGATTTATATTTTGAATAAATGCTATTCTTTTTAACTTTTTTTCATCAAAGAATCCTGAAAAAATATCACAGTTTCCAAAAAGATAGGCAGCACAACTGTTGCCAGCATTGATAATTCTAATAATAAATCAGCATATTAGAATGATTTCTGAAGGATCATGTGACACTTTATACTGGAGTAATGGCTGATGGAAATTCAGCTTTGCATCACAGAAATAAATTACATTTTAAAGGATATTAAAACAGAAACCATTATTTTATATTGTAATAACATTTAGCAAGATTACGTTTTTTTTTCTGTATTTTTGATCAAATAAATGCAGCCTTGATGAGCATACATTACTTCTTTAAAAAACATTACAAGTCTTACTGATCCCAAACTTTTGAACGATAGTGTATATGAGAGATGCTAACATGAGCAACGTGTGATTTCCGTCCCAGATGGGTGCTGTGTGCTAATCACATGGAGCCGGTAAAAGGTTTCCTGTGCCGGTTTCTGAGGAGGAAGCTGATCGAGACAGAGATCGGCAGCCGAACACGTTACCCGGAGCTGGTGAAGATCATAGACTGGATCCCTCAGGTCTGGCACCACCTCAACCGCTTCCTGGAGGCCCACAGCTCCTCTGATGTGACCATTGGTACGGAGATAAACCACTGTACTGAAGCCAAATATTAGCAGACCCTTCCAAGTGTTACTAATATGCTCTACAAGTGTTGAATTTGAGCCTCATGTCTCCTCATCCAGGTCCACGTTTGTTCCTGTCATGTCCGATGGATGTGGACGGTTCTCGTGTTTGGTTCACTGACCTGTGGAATTATTCCATCATCCCCTACATGCTGGAGGCTGTGAGAGAAGGCTTACAGGTAACATTTGCCATCTTTTATAGTAAAATCGACCTTTTTCACTGATATCTTTTTAAATGATTAAGTTTCATTGTAAAAGTGATCTTGCACAACATTATAAGTCCATTATCAAAACCCAAAGTTCTTGCATCGTTCTACGTATCTCTCAGTATTTGGAACAAACTTTTGATTCAGTGTTTATTTGTTGGTTTTGTTTGATTACTTTTTTTTAGCTATACGGTCGCAGAGCTGCATGGGAGGATCCTGCGCTGTGGGTTCTGGAAACTTTTCCATGGGCAGCTTCTCATCAACACCCTGATTGGCCAGCTTTGCTGCAGCTCCGCCCAGAGGACGTGGGCTTTGATGGATACTCTGCCTCCAGAGAGGGCCTTAACAAACAGAGTACTCAGAGTGACAGTGATGCCGACCCACTGGTGAGAACCACATACAGATAAAAGTATTAGTGTAGTGTGGCCATAAACTCTTACTGTTCTGATGGTTTTATGTTTATAAAAATATGCTATTTGCTGCACTAGTTTATTACTAAAAATGCAAAACTCTTCAAGTTGGGATCATCATAAAGAAGAAAACAGATTTTGGAAGGACAACTCAAAAAATCTTAAAGTAAACAATGATTGAAAATTATTTATACACATAATAATTGATGTAAATTCAAATAAAATGAGGAGTCCAGGCTGATCATTGGTGAAGAAAAACTGTTTTATTCTAAATAAGGATGGGGCCACCCCATTGTGACCGCCTTGTTGAGATTACATAAACTGTCAAATATAACTTATTAATTTATTTTTATTACTGAGATGAAATTAGAATAAATTAATCATGGGTGATACTGTATGCCTGCAAACGGAGTATGGCACATAGTGTTATTTTAGTATTATACATACTTACTATTTATTAATATTTTCAATTAGATTTTATTTTTATATTTTCAGTTTTCATTTTAGTTTAAGTTTTAGTAATTTTATGTGCATTTTTCCTTACATTTGTTTTTTTTTAAATATATATTATATTTCTATTTAGCTTTCATTTGTTTTTGTGTCAGTTTTATTTTATTAGTTTTACTATTTCAACTTAAGCATACTTATTTCAGTTAGTTACCAATAATATAATATATTATGTAATATTTATATTGTATTTTATTTTAGCATTTCAATGAACGAAAATTAGTTTTAGTTTAATTAACAATAGCAACACTAATCACACTATAATGGTTACTTTTGCTTTTATATAAGTATACATTCAAACCAGTAGGTGTCAGTAAGTGAGTTGAATGGGGGGAAAAATTATACATGTTGACATGGGATTTTGGGGGTGACTTTACCCTACAGAAATAAGGTCATAAGGCATAAGGTCTTCTGCCATAAGGTCATAGGGGCATAAAAACTTAGATCACCTCTTAATGCACCTCTATCTACTAAAGCAGGGGTCCTGGAGGGCCGGTGTCTTGCAGAGTTTTTCTCCAACTCTAATCAAACACACCTGAACCAGCTAATCAAGGTCTTAAACCCAATTCGGACGGTAATTGTTTCTCATTTTCCACCATAATTTGCAAATAAATTCTTTAAAAATCCTACAATGTGATTTTCTGGATTTTTTTTTCTCATTTTGTCTCTCATAGTTGAGGTATACCTATGATGAAAATTACAGGCCTCTCTCATCTTTTTAAGTGGGAGAACTTGCACAATTGGTGGCTGACTAAATACTTTTTTGCCCCACTGTATGCAACACCGAAGTACAATGTTACCTTACAGTGTTCGGGAGTGCTCAAAAAGGTTTTAAACACTGAATTTTGAATCGATTTCTTCGATGTGGATGTGGATTCGGACGGCAATTAAATTACCACAAGACCTTGGCGTTTGTCATAAAACAGTAGGTAATTCGGCCGGGGATTTTTACGGGGGTGGTGAGAGAAAAACACAGACATCCTGGATTCGGACAGCATTAAAATCATCAACTACCCCCTGTAAATGGTGAAAATCACTTGCGTCCCCCTAAGAAACAATTACCGGTCGAATAGGGCTTTACTAGGCGTTCTAGAAACTTCCAGGCAGATGTGTTGAGGCAAGTTGGAGCTAAACTCTGCAGGACACCGGCCCTCCAGGACCGAGTTTGGAGACCCCTGTACTAAAGCAAGAGAAAAATGTAGGAGAACAAAATAGTATGTTCTAGATTAAGTATTTCCTATATACTTCCAATTTGAAAAATGTGTATAATAGCTCGGATTTCTTCTCGAATATATATTAAGACATCTAGCCTGACTATTATTTTTGTGTATTGTGTGAACAGATGAACATGCTCCTGCGTCTAAAAGAGGCGGCCAGCTGCTCCAGCCCGCAGAGCTACGACAGCGACTCCAATAGCAACAGTCACCATGACGATATCCTGGACTCTTCGCTGGAGTCCACACTATGATCCAGCCTGATCCGTTCTGCCATTTAATTCCTCGACTCTAATGCCAGTCATTACATCACATCTACGGGTGCAGGTAACCCAAATAAAGAATGATGCTTCACATATAAAAAGAGATATATAAAAATATATATAAATATATATATACGCCAAAACTCAACGGTACTTATAGCTGCCTCATTTAAATCATCAGTGTGATTTGTAAACAAATTATACAACAAAATCAGAAGAAAGTGCTTTGTCCCAATTTTTACCTCAAAAGTAAAAGTGCGGTCACGTTAGCCAAATTTTATGGACAAAAAATTTTCATTATCTATCGTCAATAATGTAGTGATGTATGAAACACAGCTCACACAATTCACTTTCACACCAAACGGTGAATCCGTGTGACCAACCTGAATCCACTGCAAAATCTGCGTGGATACATTTTTCGCCCTCACACGAAATTCCCGATTTCATGGATTCCTGTTGAAATGACTGGATCATTTCACCTACAGAAATTCGCAGAACTTCTGTAAATGTGATCGCACCGTAACTGTCGCAGAAACTTTTGCAAACAATGCAATGCTCGTTTGTCTTACCCTCTACTGGTGAAACGGAGGAGTTACATCTTGGATCTGAGACTACCATCTTGGCGTCAGCATCTCCTTCCTCATTGACTTTCCCTGTATTGATGGACTTGCTTTTCAAAACCAGCTTGATCGAATGCTGACCATCGTTTCATGTTTTACATGGTAAGGATACAGATGAAATAGCATGGTGCTACACTTATGATTTTGGATTTATTTATTGTGACGATTGGAAAAAAATACCTCGTGCTTTTGTTTTGCCCTTCTGCATTTTTTGTTAAACCACCCGTTCCTTAACTGCTGACCGCATGTTTCAGTGTTCTACTGTAGCACAAAGCCTATCTATCTATTTTTTACACTCGATCGCGCTTGGCTTTTGGTGCTGAATGGAATCTGGTGCCTTACTCCATTTTGTAAAGAAAAAAACGGCACTATGTTTTATACTTCCGAAAAATGCAGATTTTATAACAGTTCGTAATTGAACTACAGGGCTCTGCACTAGTCCTTTTAAATTTGCCTAAAATAAACAGCCTCACAGTCATCATATCATATCAGAGGTACTATATGTGTGGTTTAGATAAGAGGAGGTGGATAAAGGGAGCGACTGTAACCTCCATCTGTTTTGAAATTCACATTTTTTTCAAGCGAAGTTGTGACACAGTTAAAGGGACGTTTTACACACTCGATCCTCATTATACGTGAAATACATATGATCACTACTGGCACAGTTCATCTTGAGTGGGTCAGCTGCAAGGCTTTGCTTGGTGCTTAAAGACCGTCTCAACACATCTTGGCAAAAGCACAGTGAGAAATTGTTCATAATTTGGTGCATGAGTAAACCTCATTGACCATTTGGGCCTTTTTCATGTACATTCATGTATCTTGCAGTCAATGTGAAAGTTTAAGAAACGTCCACATAGTCATTGGATCAATAATATACTGTATTTGCTGCTTTGTAATGCAAGGATGCTTCTGGAGGATTTGTACATATACTTTTATCTTGGATTCTCTATAAAGGAATATTATTTGGATGGATAGTGAGTTTCACTGCATGGGAAAGCATAATATATGGGGCTATTCAGTGTTTTCTCCTTCTTTACATTGTCGAATGCTGTTTGTATGGCACTGCAGGGTTTTAGTTACACCATTGCTTTTATTTCACTCCAGTGGGATTCCTGTCAGTCATCGCTCCTATGCAAAATCATCGTGGATTTCAAATGGAAGCCAAATATCGTAGCTCTGTAATGCTGTCAGCACTGCCAATAAGTTGTGTGCACACTGTGTATATAATTTGTGAAGAATTTTAGGATATGTGCCTAATATTCATTTTCTTTGATGGATTATGATGATGAAGTCATTTTAAGCACAAATGCTGTATGTGATTGTTGTAACTGAAATGGGAGGGCTATAATTTGATTTCATGTCACTGAATGTGTATGTCGTTTCTGGCTGTAATATATCCATGTAAATATTTGACTACCCTGCCGGCTGCATTTTGATGAATAATCTTTTTCTAGCCATTTATAACAGTGCTTGGAAATATGGAATATTTTGTGTACAGTGTCTTTTTCATCTTAACAGTCCCACGGATGGTCTGAGAAACACAGACGACCCATAAAGACTTACTGATCACATCACCAGTTTTAAATTATTTGTAATTCAATAAACCTAATAATTATTTATTAATTGTTTATTAGTTTATGTTTTCATGACTTCATGCAAGCACAATAGTGAAACAAATATATTCACATAATTTTTACTGTATATCAACTTAATTACTCAATCATAAAATTAAATAAAAATAAATGAGTAATACAATAAAAGCAACACAAAACTTTAGTTTTTAGTGTAACATTGACTAAAATATAATTCTCGTGTTTAATTGAAAGGATCAATGTTTCAATCCTTAGCATGTACAATAAAATGAACATTAAGTAGTAAATGATATTTTACATGTATTGTTAAATTCAAGGATTGGTGGGACACCTTTTCCAGAGCATCTTTCATTCTACCTTTTGATAAGATATTTGCAATACAATATTTAAACAACACAGACTAGTATGCATGAATTACCTATACTTGCAAGAGTTTATATGAGCTTTGAGATCATTCTAATAAAGACAAGGAATAATGTTAAAGGGGTCATATGATGCTGCTAAAAAGCATTATTTTGTGTATTTGGTGTAATGAAATGTGTTTATGCGGTTTAGGGTTCAAAAAACACATTATTTTCCACATACTGTACATTATTGTTTCTCCTCTATGCCCCGCCTTTCTGAAACGCTTCTATTTTTACAAAGCTCATCGTTCTGAAAAAGCAAGGTGTGCTGTGATTGGCCAGCTATCCAGTGCATTGTGATTGGCCGAATACCTCAAGCGTGTGACGGAAATGTTACGCCCCTTACCATATTGTGATGATGCCCTGTCCGGCCAGAGCGATGATTCAAAAACATGAAAACCCATTATAAACGAGGCATTCTTTGCATCCAGTGTAGACATAATTATCCATTATAATGACTTATACTGTCTTTTTACGCGTTGTGTTGCATCGCGCCGCGTAAACATAAAACCATGTCTGCATTTGTGATCGGAGAAATGACAAACAACAAGACCTACTCTACACTGCCCAAAAAACTCGCTTTAAATATATAAAATATAATTTTTCATGTTGAACTTAATTTCAAGATTAAATAAAAAAAGTGAAACAAAACACCTAAAATGAAGCTGTGAGTACCAACAAATCACAGCACAATTCGAATAAATAAATCTAAGGGTCTAGAAACCCGGTTAATGTACTGTATCTCATAAAGTGTGAGAGAGATGGTTGGTTTGACGTCTATTGGTGATGAAGTCAAAATCTCCTGAATAGCTTCAATTCAACTTGAGCATGTGTTCTTTTTCTTTGTTTTGCATATTTAGCAATTCCATACCAGGGATACAGATCTGTTGGTTTTCTTTCCAGACTGTTTTCTCCTAGAAAAAACTGGCAAAGACAATTCTGCGCATGTGGAAATCTGACAGGGTCTACTAAATATCCTCTGTGTTTTAGTGTGTTTTTCCAAAAGGGTTCATCAACAAACATGAGGTAACTCCGAGGAGCCTGATTAAGAAACACACTCCAAACCAAATGATAAAAATTAAAATACAACTTTTTCCCTCTTCTTCCAGAAAGACAGGTGCTGTATCATTGATTTTGTCATCACACGTCACTCTTACTCCTTTTGATTCTGGATCAAAGCGATTGCTTTGATAACAACTGGGTAAATAATATATGATTTGTTTACCCCTGAGATTCATTTTCTGAATTGAGAGTTTCAGCGTATTTAAGAGTGGCTCATTATAGTCTTTGAAGCTTTCGGTATTCAGAAACCACCCTTCGAAGTTTAATTGGTTGGTGATGTTCATTAGTTTCTGCAGGTTCTCCAGTTTTGCCAGTTCTTCCGTGTCTTTCACATTTCCCCCATCTAGAGGAGGCAAAAAAACTGTGCCAAATATGGAGACCCCATTCATGTGTGCCTGATCAATCCAAGCTGCATCCGGAGCAAGCACTGCTCCTTCACCATGTGACCCACCAAAGAAGACTTAACTCTTTGATATACTGCCAGTAATCAAATCTTATTCTCTTTTCCTCTGTAATGACCTGAGGAACTCTTTCACAGGTTGACCTCGCTCTGAATTTTAAAGGGGTCATATGATGCGATTTCAAGGTTTCCTTTCTCTTTGGAGTGTTACAAGCTGTTCGTGAATAGATAAGATCCCTAAAGTTGCAAAGACTAAAGTCTCAAACCCAAAGAGATATTCTTTATAAAATTAAGACTTGTCCACGCCCTCCTAAAACGCCTTCTTTAAACACGACCCCACATGTCTACGTCACTGTGTGGGAAGATTTGCATAACGCCGCCCAAATGTTCACGCAAAGAAAGAAGGCATAACTTTTGTGTTCAGTTGTGAAAGTGAAACTACTTTGTTTGGCCTTCCAAAAGAGGATGATATCCGCTTCGTTATGCCTGGAGCTGATCCATGCTGGTCGGTGAGGAAGTACATCAACTTTGCGCTGTGGATCGCCGGATCGGCTTTCACCGTGGACGAAGCGGAGTCCAGCCCGGAGTCATCACATGTGGTTGCCGCAAGCCCGCCGGACGCTCCTTCGTCGAATCCGCGCCATTCTCAAGCCCGCCGGCCGCCGCTCGCTCTAGCCTCCGGCCGCAAATGCAGACATGGTTTTATGTTTACGCGCCGCGATACGCAACGCGTAAAAAGACAGTATAAGTCTATAAATTATAATAATCAGTCATTTATATCCCCACTGGATGCAACAAATGCCTCGTTTGTAATGGTTTTATTGGTGTTACTGTTGTCTCATCGCGCCGGGACACGGCATCACAGTATAGTAAGGGACATAACATTTCCGTCACACACTTGAGGTATTCGGCCAATCACAATGCACTGGATAGCTGGCCAATCAGAGCACACCTCGCTTTTCAGACCAATGAGCTTTGTAAAAATCGACGCATTTCAGAAAGGCGGGGCATAGAGGAGAAACAATAATGTACAGTATGTGGAAAATAATGTTTTTTTTTACCTTAAACCTCATAAACACATTGCATTACACCAAATACACAAAATAATGTTCTTTTTAGCAACGTCATATGACCCCTTTAAGGTGAAGTCTTTTTGTGTGGTTTCATGTTCTTCTCTTGACCACTCATAGGTAAAGCCATCTGTTTGAAGGGGTTCTGTTGAAGGACGCAAGTAATCATCAGAGAAAGTCTGACCCTCAGAATAATCTTTCAGTTCTGGGAAGTCAGCATTCTCTGGTTTGTTCAAAAACCAAGTGTATGTTTTAGGATCAGTTTTTCCTTTTTCCTCTAGAGCAGGCATCTCATCGTAAAGTACTGGTAGTGCCTCTTGATCTGTGATTTGTTCCACTTGGTAGTTTAAATTGTGTGGGATATGAGGCCAGTAGAGTTGAGCAACGATGAAGTATGGGTGAGCAGGAGGTGTGCCATCTCTGCTCCAGCAATATACAGACGTCCCCTGGAATTCTGTATCACATTGCCCATTTATTTTGCCATCTTGAAATTCTTTCAGAAGGCTATGAAATCACCATCAACTTCATAAAATATACTACGGATTAGCCTTTTTTAATTGCATGGCATAATATTCCTTTCTGTTGTGTTTATCTTGTGTGCTAGAAATGTACCAGCGGAAACACTTTTGCTCTACCCTCTTCCACACTGGAATTATGTAATCGTCACTCTTGTTTCTAAAATTTTCTTTCATCATATTGTAAGGCCCGAGGCAATCAACTTCGGAGAGCAAGTATACATCCCACGAATAAAGAAATCTGTCTGGTTTGGAGGCTCTGTGCTTTGATCACATTTTTAGCTATTCTAAAGCCAAATATGTCTATGCTTTCTTCTGTGAAATGCCGGTTTACACATCCGATAATCTCTGTGAGCTCACTGCTGTAACAATTTATGAATTCAGTCGATGTTCGTTGCTTCGTTTTAGATATTGAATGGCATTGTGGAAAACTTGGAGAGCTTCTTCATCCGAAGCATTGTAATGTTTGTTTTCGAAACATGAAAATCTGAGCTGCAAGTAGATAATGTTGAGATGTCACATTCATCACTTGATTCAGCAGCTTTCACATAATCTACATTTCCTTTTATAGCTTCGAGCAATTCGTTTACAATTCGATGTGGAGATGTATAAAAGGAATCAAGAGAGTAGGAATGCGACGGTGGAGGATGACATTCCTCGTAGTCAATAACGGCCTGGATTTTTTCCTTTGCAGTACCCGGACAGCGCAAACCACAAGAAAGTGCTTTCTCGGAGAACGCTGGCAAGATACCAGATTTATCATAATGCATGTCAGACATGCATTTTTTTTTAGATCTGAAGCCCAGATTTGAGCTTCTGATCATTTCATATTTGGGTCCATATACTTCATAACAACAGCCAAGTTTGTGAAGGACACTGGCTCGTTGTTTTCTGCCATTCTGGAATGCTTAGTATATACCTATGAAAAAAAACGCATTTGTATTGACATAGAAGTAGGCATAACGCTTTCAAGATCAGCAGAGAAGAGCTATCTATTAAAATCCTCTATTGTTAGGTTAAAACTCTCACTTTTTAACTCCTACAGCCCTATTATTTATGTTTTCATTAGGTACACACAAGAAGTTACAGGTGAAAAAGCAGAATGATTTGTCAGATTCTGCCCGGCTTGGGCTGGGTAGCAGACCTCTACACTGTGCTACAACAGCTTCTCAGATGGTTTTAATCAAAATGAAGAGAAAACTAATTCTTACAATATTTTTAATGCTATTTAAATCTAAATATCAGCTCAGAAGATAATAATAATAATATGGTCAATGAGTATATTAAGTATAATAATAATCATTAAAATAAACAGTTAACATTTTAATATTGTACCTATAAGTTTAAGTATACAGTTACTTGCAAAACAGAGAGCATAGAAACATCAATATGCATTAAGTATAAAATGGTACATTACTTACCAAAAAGTGGTTTGGTGCTGAAATAAGAAAGAAGAATTGGCTTACTTTTCACTAACAGCCAACTTTAAGTGCCTGTTCCAGTGAACCACACCATGAAAAATACAAGATTTCTATTTAATTTCCCCTATTTAACAT